AAATGTGAAAAATACAGCTAATGCATGATGACTACTTATAAATGTAAGCCAAGAGAATTACAATAGGAAAAAAACTTCTAAAATATAAGATATTTATCTCTAATGCCTACTAGGAAAACAATAAATTATATATGATAAATTTACAAATGGTAAATGACTCTCCCCCTTCGATTATCACTGTCCATGCTTGATATCTATCCTTGAAGATTTGGCTATGAGATGAAGAAGTATTGACAAGGTAAGAAGTCTTGATTTCTTACGAAAGTTGAAGTTGAAATTCACATCCATCTTGGTGAGATAGAGTGTGTGACAAGAATTGTAGAAAAAATAGGCAGTTTTTTATATTAGTAAAGGTTTATATATTTTGTGATTTGTATTTTTGTTGAAATAATAATAGAAAGAATGATAGACTTAATAGAACATACAAAAATAATAATAAAAAAAAAAAGATAAGAAATATCAGGATGAGAGAGAATATTTTTTTTTTTTGAAATAATTTTTTGTAATAGTTTTATTTAATATTTTTTTTTTAAAAAAAAAAACACATGATAAAGAATAATATGTTGAAGTTAAAATTTAAATAATATAAATAAAATAATTTAAAAATAAATGTATTGTCCATGTCGTTTGTTAGTTTAACACAAAAAGCAAAATCTAGAGGAAGTAAGTTTTTATAAGTAATAGCTTTGAAGTCAATACTCGTTTCCCCTTTTATAATGACACAGCATCTTACTTGGGGCAGGCTTGAGCCATGCTACTTACAACTGCAAGAAAATGAACATGACCATTCAACCACTACATTCTCTGCAATAATTAGGATGTTCCTAATCCTAATTATAATAACATTAAGCATATAAACAAAATAAATAAAACAGCAAAAGTTAATATGATGAAACCAAATACTGAGTCAATCTTCCATGTAAACTTGCCTTGGATGTATGAAGAAGATCTCTTTGAAGTCTCCTCTCCATTGTTTTTCCTTTTTTTTTTTTTTTTTTTTTTTTTGGGTATTCCATCACTCTCTCCCTCTTTCTCTCTCTATACATCCACCATTTATTTCTTTTCTTAACAATTTTCTCTTCAGTATAAAAGTCAACCAAGTTCCACAGCCTTCCTCCAATTTCCAACCATGGCCTCCATTACTTACCTTCTCGCATCTCTCCTAATTCTCTCTTCCGTTTCTTCCATTGTCGCTAACGATCCCGATATGCTTCAGGACCTTTGCGTTGCTGATCGGACTTCAGGTATATATCCCTATATATATATGTATATCAATCTACTGTATATCTCCTCACCCACCAAAATTTATCACAATTAACGAATGTGTTTCGCTAATTTATTTATTTTGTTACAGGAATCGCCATTAACGGCTTTGTTTGCAAGGCGACAGCCAACATCACAGCAGACGATTTCTTCTTCGACGGCCTGGCCAACCCGGCCACCATTAATAACTCGGTGGGTTCGGTCGTAACAGGCGCTAACGTTGAGAAAATTCCAGGTCTCAACACATTGGGCGTCTCGCTCTCCCGGATCGACTACGAGGCCGGTGGTCTTAACCCACCGCACACGCACCCACGCGCCACCGAGATGGTGTTCGTTCTGGAAGGTGAGTTGGATGTAGGGTTTATCACTACCGGCAACAAGCTATTCAGCAAGACAATTAAGAAAGGGGAGATCTTTGTGTTCCCGAAAGGCCTGGTTCATTTCCAGAAGAACAATAAGAAAGAACCGGCCGCCGTCATTTCAGCCTTCAATAGCCAGTTGCCGGGAACTCAGTCCATCGCGGCTACTCTGTTTGCGTCCACACCTGATGTGCCTGATAATGTTCTCACCAAGGCTTTCCAGGTTGGGACGAAGGAGATTGAGAAAATCAAGTCCAGGCTTGCACCCAAGAAAAGTTAAAAAGCATGTTGAGTAGTCCTCCATTCTGTGTTCGAATTTCTTCTTTCTCTTTTTTTTTTTTTTTTTTTTGTTGCACGAATTTATTATGAACAGTTGGGAATGCTGATATTAATTTTTTTTTTTTTTTACACAATGGGAAACTGCTGGAGTGGGTGGAACTGGATATCTGTAATTAACAATATTATTATGTCATTTTGAGTTACGAATAATTCAAATTTCTGTTGATTATAATGAGACTGAGATGCTTGAAGCGTAACTTGTGTAGGCGTTAGGTAAACTTTTTTATTTAAGTCCTAAAAATTGTTATTTTTATGTATGTACTCAAAAAAAAAATGTAAGATTTAATTAATTAATGTATTAATAGATTATAAAAAGCTAAATGGAATTTTATTGAAATAAACACAAGGACATTTGCTAACAGTAATTAATTAAAAAAGAAGCAGAGTATTTTATGGTGTATGCCAAATAATTGGAATGGAAGGAAAGTAAGATATCATGATGTTAAGGAGAGAGACTGCTTACCATATCAAATGGTTTTTTTTTTTTTTTTTTTTTTTCCCTTTTAAACATGATTGGTAGGTAAATAATAACACAGTTCAATCATTCATCATAGAATTCTATGGAGAAGGCAAAATTGAGTATAAACTATCATACCTTTTTTACTACCTACCAATTATCTTACAAACAATTTATTATTGGAATGTTTTTACATTTTTTTTTAAAAAAAAAAAAAAAAAACAAACTTATGATAAGTTTGTGAATTTTGAATGCCAAAATTACTAGATTTATTACTGAAAATAATTCACAATCTAATTTTATATTTTAAATAATATTATAGTTTAATTTGTATATATATATTTAAAATATTTATTTGAATATATAAACTCATTCAATCATCAATAACCGATACACATATGTTGAGGATAATATAATAATAAATAAGAACATATCTAAATAAAGTTTAACTTTTAACCTATAATTTCTTTTATGAG